ATACTGAAGGTCACCAAGCCATTTGGAGAGCCTCCTATAGTGCTTTGGCTAGAGGGAGAGGAAGACATGGATTATTCACGCCCCCATACTCCGTGACACATGTGACATGTGAGAGACAAGTGAGGCATAGCTATATGTGATATGCACATATGTGAAATACATGTGTGTGTGCTGGTGGGTGAGCTGGGTAACCTTGGTCTAGGCGGTGGTCACTACAGCCTAACTGATCCTCCAGGTCAGGACGGTGCCCCAGAGCGGTCAGTCCCCAGCCCTGTGGGTCCCCCACCTCCGTCACCCAGCCTTTTATTACACACTCTGAGAGTGTCTGCAATGCCCTGTCTGACAAAGACAGCCCCAGCCCATTTTCCCGACTGGCTGGGCTGAGTGCAAGTAGGCTCCGGATGCCTAACGTTTTAGTTGCTGCCCATCTCCCACCACAGTCTGTTGCCCAGATCGGGAGGGGGACTCCGGTTCCCCTCAGAGGGAGTCTGCGTTTGATTTTGTAATGTGGGAAGTGCCTGGTTTTGAACACCTGCTTTTTCTTGCTTTCCCCTCTTCCTTCGCCTTCACTACTCCGGTAGCCGCTCCCCCAGCCAGCCTGCTCCCCCACCTCCAGTGCCCTTCACTCCCCCCTGATGCGCCTTCCTTTCCTCTCTGCTGTTTCCGTGTCCCCTCTTTCTGGGCCTCTCCTGTCTCTTGCGCCTCTCCCAGACTGTGTCATGTGGTTCTCCTGCCTTCCTCCCCCAACAACGTGACTACCTCATGTCTGCTTCAAGGCCGTAGCACGACTCCACCATCTGCCCATTCCCTTTCCCCACTACCCTCCCGTCCCCTTCTTTCTGTGCCTCCTCCCCAGGCAGACTGCCTGTCCCCAGTGCAGGGTTGGAGAAGACCTTCCAGCTTCCCTTGTATCTTTCTCCCTGGGGCAAAGATGGGAGGGTTTTTCTTTGAGGTGATGAATCCAAGTCACACAGGGGGACTTTTGAGATGGGGAAAGCAGAATGCAACCCAGAGGCTCAGTATAAAATTCTTCCTTATAAAATTCTTCCTTCCTTCTGTGCATGCAGGCCAGTTTACTGGTGGAGAGGGTTTGGGACTTTCCTTTCCATCTGAAGCTAAAGGGGAAAAGGGGGAATGGGAATTAGGGGCTCTGCAGCCCAGCAGCTTCCCGCTGTGCGCCTTGAACATGAGCTGATGGGGTAGGGGTGAGAGGAATCTCATTCCTCTGGGGTGCTGGAAGGGAGGTCTTTGCACAGGACAAGGGCAACTGGCTCATTTTGTTTGATTTTGTTTTGCTTTTAATTCAGTCCTGAGGTCATTTTCTGTCGACCTACCATAGAAAGACAAGCTTGACTTCTATTTCCCGTGTAGAGAAAACCATGTAATTTATTTGATTTTGCACCTCAGCCTCCCATAGGAGCGTAGAAGGCGGGGTCTTTTCTCGCCAAATGCATCTTTCTAACTGATTGGTGTATCAGGGGTTAACACTGGCTGCTGGGCTAAATTAGAAATAACTAGTCTATCTCCACCACCACCATCCTTTTGTAAATGGTGAGATGTCTTTCAGCAGAGTTGCAGCTTCCTCAGACCCTTTCAGCATCGTGTTTGTTAGACTCGGATGTCACTCACGTTTGACATCCCACCTACATTTCCTCTCCCTCCCCTCCTTCAACCAGCCTATGATAACACTAAAGGTTATTAATGTTGCTTTTGTATCTTGTTAAGCACAGAATTGTCACTTGTACTATTTCTGTAGCATTCAGCGTTGCTGTGGCTGACACCACTCTGTATGTTTCATCATTGCTCTGAAGGTCAAAAGCCTCGTTTTATTTTGCTGGTTTGATTTTTTTTCCTGAAGGGGGAAAAAAAAACCCTGCCCTGAATTAAATGGCTGTTTTAACAGTAGGCTCTTAGCATTACACCACATAGTCATTTTTCATGTTCTTGTTTAACAGGCACTGAGGTTCTGGTTTAAATTAAATAGCTGCAAATGAGACAATTTATAACCCATTAGGTTGGGTGGAAAATTGTTTCTCAAAAGCAAATAAGTAATAAATCTGGTATCTGCCTATAACTCACAGTTGATAAGCAAGTGGCCATTACTCACTAGTATTATATATGATTTGGGCTCTGGGTAATTTGGAAGTGTTAGGTTTGTGTCTTTGTAGCAGTGTTTTTATTAGAAAGGAGTCTATTGGCCTTTTACAGGGTATTAATCCCGTTATCACCTACCATCGATGCCTTACGTGTTTTGTCTCATTTTAAAACCTTTCTTTTTTCTTTTTGATGCATGACAAGCATAATTGGTATCTGCTCATTTATCTGTTCGTATTTAGTTTATGCTGTATTATTTAATTACTTTTCCAGCATTTGTTCCCTTTCCAAATAGGACATTTTTTAGTGTTAAACCAAGGCATTGATCATGTATCTGTCCTTATAATGAATTAATAAACTATTTTCCAGAAATGTGGAATTCTCTCTCGGAACCGATGTCTAGAATTTCCTCGGCCTTTCTGAATAGAGAATGTGTTTCCTAGCAGATGGGAATGTTGGTTCCGAGGGCAGAGGGCAGGTGGTTTGGGGAAAGAACTGAACCACCTTCCTCCCTCCACAGGCGCTTAGGAGAAGGTCGTACACTTCAAGAAGATGCGTTCATCAATGGCACTCTTTTAGACTCCCAAAGAATCTCTTTCCACCTGGACATGCATTTTTTTTAACTTTCTTGGGTGCAAGAGAAGAGCGAACAGACAATTCCAGAAGATTTTTCATTATTCTTTTGTACCACTGTGGTCTCCAAAACTGCTCGTGGCTGCATATTAACACACATATAGGTGCACTCAGAGACCCGTGTATGCGCACTTACGTTCAGAATCACCTTTCTGTCCATTAACTCAAATACGGCACCCGGTCATGTACAAAGCCACACTAATACTTCACACTCATCTCCGAGCATGGTTGGCAGCTTCTCTGCTAAGATCTTGACAGAGCCTGGAAGGTGCAGGCTTTTCTACTGAAGGGAACCAAAAGCCAGGGCTGCCCTGCCTAGGACCACCCCTGAAGCGGCTGGTGGGCCAGACCCGAGTTAATTGACAGATCATACGGAGAGATACTGAATATTTTGCATGCAGCAGAATAGCCATTATTTGCATATCATTCTCAGACCAAGGGTTGTGATAAAGAAGAATTAAACACTTGTCAAAATGAATTTAAAATGACAGCTGCTCAGGACACCAGTTTGACCTCTCCAAGTCCAGCAGAAACCCAGAAGGGGTGGTTGAGAATTCGAGCCTGTGGGAGGGAGTTCCAGAACTTTGCACCCAGAAGGGGCCCCCTCCCTCCCTGTCCCATGGCCAGTAGAGAGGTTCATCATTCCCGCCCTTCCCTGCAATATCAGTTTGGGGCTCTGGTGTGCTGGTTGTCCCCTGACCAGCACTGTCGCCGCCCACTGCTCACAGGCCTCAAGTGCTTGCCTCTCAAACTCAGATTCCAATCACTGCTGCAGAGTCAGGAAGTCCCCGGGCTGCACAAGCCCCATCACTGATAAACTTATGTGGCTTCTGGAGGCTTGTTCTTCTTTGCTCACCTGCACAGAGTGAAGGGTTTATATATGGGGAACATTCCTGATCTCAAGACGTCAGAGTTGCTCTCCAAAGAGACATTTCGTTATCCTTCTGCAAATAGCTGAGGAACAAATAGCTGAGTGAGGCAGAGGCTACTCCCTTTGAATCTGCTGCTCCTAGAACTTAGTAGGAGCTCAATCATTTTGATGGACTAGCCCATCATGCTGGACCCCGCAGAAGATCGTGTAACAGTGAGTGGTAAAGATTAGAGACCTCGGAGGGCTGACATGGGTGTGCAATCTCCAGATGCCCACATACATAACATTCCCACATAGGAGCTGTGTTGTCTCATTTTTTTCCTCTGACGTGAAACTTTGAGTCTTCTTTGGGCCTAGAAATATTACTGGGAATTTTAACTTTCGATTTGCTTTTGCAGTTCCCAGGTCACTTGTCAGGACCTGTGTGGTTTGAAGGCCTCTAGGAGTGAGTAAGAGAGAGATGATGATGATGATTTTTTAGGTGAGCTCAGAGTGACTGCTTGGGTTGGCTGGGCTACACAGCAGACAGAACTGGGCCGGAACCCCGGTCACTTTAGCGATCTCACTGTCCCGTTGGGCCGGCTCGCCCCACCCTGGGGGAAACTGCTTTCCCACCACTCCTACCTCCCGTTCACCTAAGCGCCAGAACATTTCCGTCCGGAGAGGACAGTCTTGCAGCTAAACGTCCTAGCCTTTGAGGGGGAGGACCCGAAACCCATGGAAAACCGAATCTTTGACAACTTTATGCAGTTTTGAGGGAATTATCTCGAAAATATAGACTTGGACACGGTGGAGGAGGGCACAGATGAGAGAGGTGGTCAGAGCAAATTCCGCAGCTTTCAGTGTTTCTCCGCAGCCCGGACCCACTCCACAGTCCTCCGGGTCTCCAATCTCCAGTCCCCCAAGTCCCGGGCTGGCCCGAGCTGGGGTGGGTACCGGACTGCAGCCTGGGACGGCGCTGGTCGCTCCAGCCGCAGTTCAAAGCGCAGGGGGCGCGTCCGCCGAGCAGCCGGGAATGTCCGGCCGCTTAAAGCGCTCGCCGGCTCTTTTGTTCCCCAGACCCGGCCTCCGGGGAGAGGGGGCTGGGGGAGGGGACCGGAGGGGAGGGAAGGGGGGCTGCGGGCGGCGGGAGGAGGGCGGGGCGGGCGCGGGCAGTGCGAGTGCGGAGCGCGCACCCGGGGCGAGGCTGACAGATCGCCGGGGTAGGTGCAAGATGGCGCAAGCGGCGCTCCCCCGGCGCCCCCGCAGCTCCTAGGCAGACATGTGGCCCCAGCCCCCCGCCGCTCGGGCTCGGCCCCGGCCGGAGCCCCGGCCCCGGCCCCGGCGCCGGCCCCGCGGGACGCTGTGAGCCGCTAGAGGCCCCGGAGCCGCGCAGCGCCGAGACGAGCAGACGGAGAGCCCCATGGCCGCTCCGCGCGCCGCGCCCCCGCGCCGCCCGCCCGCGCCGCGCCGGCCGTGGCTCCCGCTGCCGCTCCTGCTGCTGCTGCTGCTGCTGCCGCCGCCCGCGCCGAGCGCAGGTGAGCGAGGGCGCCGCTTCTGTGCGGCTGCGGACGGAGCCCCGGGAAGGGAAAGAAGGCGGTACGCGGGCATGAGGGGCGGACCTGCGGGCAGACCCTCGGCCGGGGCAGGAGCGACTTGCCCGAGAAGGGCGGCCGAGGCGGGCGGGGCGGAGCCGGGCGAGAGGGCACCGAGGCCGGGCTGCGGGGCGGGGGTGGGAGGTGGCGGCAGGGCTTTGCTGAGGACGGAACCCTTCGAGAGAGACCGGGCTTAGCCCGAGGCGGCTCCAGGACGCGGAGACAAACCGGACCCCGGACAGAGGGTCAAGGAGCGGGGCAAAACAGGAGCGAGGCAGACAGACTGGAGTTGGGGAGCGGCAGAAGCCAGCCCGGTGGCGGGGGTGGTGCAGGGCTGAGTCCCGTCGGCGGGGACGAGCTGCGAGGCTCGGAGCCCGGTGGCGGGCACAGTAGTTCGGAGCGACCGAGACCGAAACTGGAGACAGCAGACCTGGGGGCGGAGGCCGGGACCCAGCGGGCCGCCGCGACTGGATTTGGAGGTAGGACCCGGACGCAGAGTGCGCGGGAGGGACGGAGAAAGAGAGGAAGGTCCCCGGCCGCTGCGCAGCGGGGGAGGACACCCGAGAGACCCCCTGCGAGCTGGGGAAGGGGAATGGAAGCTGACCGAGAACCAGGGAGCGAGCGCGGGGATGCCCACGTGCCCGCCCGCCCCCGGAGTGTGCAGACGCACAGCGGCCCTGTCCCCAGCTCCGGGATCTGCCGGCTTTGCTGCCCAGAGCTCTGTACGACACCCTGTCGTCTCAGTGGCTGTAATGGGTGAAAATGTTGTCCTTTCTTCTCCCACCACAAACTCTTAAGCAGACACACTTCTGGGCCCAATTCTTTTTCCCCTCAGCTCGGAGAAGCTGCTATCGGGTCTGCATCTAGCAAAAACTTTATTCCCCAGTTGCTCTGCAGGGTTGGTTTGGGGGCTGAGGCAGTTGAAAAGCAGGTCATGGAAAGATGGGTAGGGGTTTGAAGGGATTTGGTCCTCAAATGTCTTAAAATGTTATATATCCACGAGGGTGTGGGGGCCCCCCATAATCCCAGCCCTCTTCCTTCTTTTTCTCCACCGGGAGGGCCCAGTCCTGTTAGGGAGGAACAGCTCCAGGATCACTAGTTTTCTGGCAGTGTGAGGAGGGGTCTGTGGCTACCCTTTCAGCCTAGGTGGGTTCGTACCTCCTGCAGTGAAATTGTAACTGGTCTGGTGAGTTGCTCGTTGGAGAAGTTGGCGACTTGGCATCATGCCTGGGACTGGATCGCTTCTTTCCCTTAAGGCTTTTCCTGATTTCTCCATCGGGTCTTCTCTCGTCCCTCCTTCCCCCGCTTCTTCTAGCTCATCTCTATTCTGCAGGAATGAATCTGTTGCTACCAGTAAAGGTTCTAGGAAACCCCTCTCTCTGAACTTTGGGAAATCTGAGTTGATATTTGGTACCCCTCCTCTCTCTTTAAGACAAAAGCCCAGCACTGGGGGAGGTGGGCTGGGGGGTGCCCAGCACATCCTAGGAGAAGGACAGTGGAGTTGGGCCTTAGGCGACCCTGTACTTGGTACTGGACCCACCAACCCTGCCCCCTGCCAGGCAGCCACCAGGCCTCACTCAGATGGTTTTGCAAGCAAAAAGAAGCACTGTTTTATTTCTATCTCACTTTATATTCATCTAGAACGTTTTAAAATTTTTTATGGGTTTTAGAGAGAAACATTGATTTGTTGTTCCACTTATTCATTCATTGACTCTTGTGTGTACCCTGACCCGGGGACACTTTTCATAGTGCCTTCAAGTCTGTTAATCATATTCAACATCCCTGTGACTCAAGCTGTATTATTGTCGTTCCTGATTTAAACAGATGAGGGATGAGAAGCCAGGACAGGTTGAATACTTTGCCTAAGGTCACACTCTGAAAATCTGTGATGCTCCATTGCTTAACCATGGTGACCACAGAAGTGGCAGCAGCTGTGTTGGCATCAGTCTTGCTTTGGGATCCCAGATTTGCAACTATTAACTGTGAGACTCTGGACAAGTTGCTTCATTATCTCTGGGCTTCAGTTTCCTTGTAAAAGAAGAAATAGTGTAAATAACATCCACCTCTCTGAGATGCTGTGTTGATTAAGTAAAATATTACATGAGATGACACTTCATAATGCATAATGTTCTGCATGTTAATAGAGATTCCTGTTAACATTACGGAAAGGTGGGGGTGGGGATGTACGGATCCAGAGAACTTAGAACTCCTGTGCGTGCAGTTTCTTCTGTCTGCTCATTGCACACTGACCTCTCCCTTTCCTCTTATCTCCCCTGCACAATGCAGGTCTTGACCACTCTGCCGAACTGGCGTTTGCTGTGGAGCCAAGCGATGATGTGGCCGTCCCCGGGCAGCCTGTAGTGCTGGGCTGCAGGGTGGATGGGACCCCTCCGGTGCGAATCACCTGGAGGAAGAATGGGGTGGAGCTGTCAGAGAGTGCCCACACCACCGTGCTGGCCAACGGGTCCTTGATGATTCCTCACTTCCTGCTGGATCGAGGAGGAGGCAGCCCTTCAGACGAAGGTGACTATGAGTGCGTGGCTCAGAACCGCTTTGGGCTGGTGGTCAGCCGGAAGGCTCGCATCCAGGCTGCAAGTAAGTGGCGCCCTTTACTGTTCTTTCCCAGATCAGGGATGGGGGGCATGGGGAGCAGGGGGAGTCATTCCATCCTAGGCAGCCTCCTGGAGGACTGATTTCTCATGGGGCCGTTGAGAGGGGTGTACCTGTAATTTTATGGTGGCAAAATTATGTCATATACTCACTTAACTGATTGGAATGTGATTTGGCCAGAATATAGCCAAACACTGGAGCAGGGGGAGGGAGAGAGAGTGAGCTCGTCACCCAACTTTGTTTGTCTTCATTCCCATGTGCCTGGATGCTGTGAGCTTGCTTCCTGGTCCATTGCAGACGAGTCTGGTGTTTCAAGATAAACAGTTGTCATACCTTTGGGTTATTTAAGAGATTTTTGAAGGGAAGTTCTTGGCTACATGGAATTTTAAATTATGTGCTGACTTTAAACCTTTTGGGTAGGATAAAACCTCCTTATACCAGCAATGGCATTCTGAAACTTGGCAAAAATTTGCTTCCCAAAAAATTCAGTAGAATGATTTCAGAGTTATTAAAATAATGGTGTTAACATTTCTCCCACTCACCTTCATGCAGACTTGTTTTTTTAATTTCAGTTTTATCAACGTATAGTTGACAGTAAGATCATAAGCTACTTAAAGGGTACGTGGTGGTGACTTGATATCTGATGTGCCCTCTGGAATGGGAGACAAGCGGCCAGGCCAGGTGTCCCGGCTCTGGAGCGGGGCCCTGCCTGTGCTGATGGCGGGCGGTGGGAGAATGGCTGTGTTTTCCTGCCCTGTCTGCAAAAGTTTGTTGTTGTTGAGTGTCATCTGTGCATACTCATAGGAACGTGCTACTCATTGTAAACCAAAATTAGCTCCATATCTTGGGGAGATGGCAGGCTCCTCGGGGGAGGCATGGACGAGAACCACCGCTCCTGAGAAACGACAAAAGTCAAGACAGGTGCATGCGGTCTCTGTCCTCTGTCTCCATCCTGCTCCGGGCGGGGCTTCATTAACGGGTCTGCTTTAACTTTGGTTGACAATAATTCTAGCGGATGCTTATTAAGCACTTGCTACATGAGGGGCACCCTAAGTGCTCTTCATAAATTATCCCATTTTGTCATCACAGTGACCCAGGAAGAAAGGCAGAAACCCCTTTTACAGATGAGAACACTGACACTTAGGGGGATTTGGAGGGATTAGGGGACATTCCGGTAAGCAGAGGCATCAGGATTGCGGCCCAGGCAGTCTAACCCCTACCCCCTCCTGCTTACCTCCTATGGCGCGCTGCCTCTTTCCTGTCTGATCACTGATAAGCTTCCTCCTGGCTCTGCGGGCATTTGCACAGTTGCTCTGAACGGCTGGTGAGTGATGAATCGTTCCGAGGCAGGAGCCTTCTCGTTGAGTTTGAGATGCCCCTTTGTTCTGAGGAAGGCTGACGCAGGCCCCCATATGGAGCTCTCTGGGAGGCAGCTCTGGACCTCGAGACTGCAACACTTCTGCCTCAGCGACCCCTTGTCGCCTGGCCCTCCTGGAAGTGTAGGGGGTGGCTGGTGCAGCCTCTGAGTAGAAGGCTGGGTGTGAGGAAGAGAAGCATGGACAGAGGGTGGGGACCTCAGGAAGTCTGTGGATGGGACACGACCCCACACCCTGGCCTGCATCTGTGCCAAGGGATAGATGACCTCTGCCCCACCAGCCCAGAATTCTGGGAGATAAATCCCCAGGTATATCTATATAGTTAATTATAAGTGTGCTTTTCTATAAATGATAATACTTTCAAGATGTTTGGTTTCCTTAAACTCCTAACAGTATAAAAAAATTGCACTGAGGGCTCTGGCTGGGGGAAGCGGCCATGGGTAAGGTCAGCCTGGTTAAGCCTTTGGCATGCTGGGGACAGCTGGGCATGTTGCCCTCAGACACTGGCAGTCTGATACGGCCTCTCTCTCCCCACAAGTCTAGTGGCCCCAGGGGATAACCAGCCAAGAGGCTGGACCCCCGTTCTCACCCCATAGGCTGATGTCCCTGAAAACCCCCAAAGCTGCCTAGTGGCCTAGGTTTCCTCCCTCGGTGATGACTCCCTGCCGTGTGCCTGCAGGCACTGCAGATGTTGTGTGACATGGGAGGGTGCTCTGCTGAAAAGGTGTGAGGGGCCCTCTGAAGCTCCCTGCTTCTCCTGCCTGCTCCCCAGAGGCTGATGGGAGGGGCATGCTAAGCACCCCTCGCAGACGCACAAGCCACCTGGAGGTCTAAGCCAGTGCGGCCGGGGTGGGGGGTCCAAGTCTGCACGGGCAGGCCTGCTGGGGCATCTGGCCCGACTGCTGGAAGTACTCCCCTTCTATCCCAGTGGGCTCAGATGCTACCTTTGGAAAACGGCCTGACCAGGTTGGGCTCAACTATGTGCTGATCCCCTGGGGGCTTCAGTTCCAAGTATCCCCCTTTAGGGTGGAGTGGGGCAGGTCCTCAGAGTACTCAGGCTTCCAGCACGTCTGGTTTCTCTGCCTTGCTGCTCCGTTCCATGTGCTTATTGTTTGGGGGTTGGAAATGGAGACCCTGGACACATTCACCTTTCCGTGGTCCAGTTTCCTCACCTGTGAAATGGACATCCTACCTCGTGAGACGCGTGTGGGGACCAGCACACCCCTCACGTTGCCTGGCCTGTAGGCATTCGGTAGTGGGAGCCAGTACTTTAATCTCCATGTAAAGGCGTCTTCACTGACTGACTAACAAAAGCAAACTGCCCGAGCCTATGGCTTCCTCCCTCCCTGGGATTCGGTTCGGGAGCACTCCAGGGAAATCTCTCAGGGAGTGGAATTATTGGAGCCCGAGTGGAACTTGTTCTGTTTTAGCCCCTTCCTGGGAGGGCTTGGGCATTCTCCTGAGCCTCTGGGTCTCGGCAGAAGCTGGGTTGTTGAGACCCTCTGCCATCCCTCTGGAGGGGCTCAGGGCAGGTGTGTGGGTCACTTGACCCAGAGGAACACGTGTACTGATTCATACCTGTTGAGGGCTGAGTGCCTGGATGACTCCAAAGAGGGATGGGCTAGCTAGAGGAGGAGGGATACTGGGGGGGGCACCCCCAGCTCCCCTCTGGCAGACGCCCTCAGTTCCTGCCCTTCAGGTCCCAGCCTCAGTTCTGGGTGTTGGGCCCTCGGGGGAACCGGAGTGGAAAGCTGTGGGATCTAGAGCAGGATGCCAAACCTGACTGTGCCTAGGGATCACCTGAGGGTCATGATGAAATTCAGACTTTGAGTCTGTGGGGCCAGGCCAAGGCAGGCTCTGCATGTCCCACAGGAGCCCCGGTGATGCTGAGGCTGCTGGCCCCCAGGTGCCAGAGGAGAGCCGGCTCCCAGGCCGTAGTCCCTGGTGTGGGGTCCGTAGGCAGCACAGCAAAGTCTGAAACACACAGAAACACGTGGGCTCCAGGGCCAGGCCTAGGTGGGAGGGCTTGAACCCATCTCTGCTGCACCTTCGTCGTGTGTTCTCAGCACAAGTCACTTAACCCTCTTGACCTCTGACAAAAATTGGCATAATGTTCCATCAGCCTATCAGGGCTGTTGGAGGACTGAATGGGGTGATGGGTGTAAAGCACCTGGCACAGGCTTGGCGTCCCGGAAACGTTCATGAAGTGCTATTGTTAGTGTCAGGTGTCGACCACTAGTTTAGGGTGGGGTCCAGCCTGTTCCAGTGCCTCCGTCTGGGCCTGGGGCCATCCCGACTGGGCATGCTCAATGGCGGTTATGAGGGTGGGCTGTGGGGTGCGGAGGTCAGGAGACTCGGGCCAGATGGCCTTGGCCAAGTCACTTAACCTCTCTGTGTCTCAGTTCCTTTTTTTAAAGATTTTACTTACTTTCAGAGAGAGGAGAAAGGAGGGAGAAAGAGGAAACAGCAATTGGTTGCCTCTCTCATGCTGCCAACTGGGCATGAGATCCCACAGCCCAGGCCTGTGTCCTGACTGGGAATCAAACCGGCAAACTTTAGGTCCGCAGGCCGGCACTCAGTCCAGGGCCACACCAGCCAGGGTTCAGCTTGCTCGTCTTTAGAATGGGGAAATAATACTTCCCAAGGAGAAATCTTGTGAGGATCACCCAGGGTGATATGAGTAAAGAATTGAGCAGATACCGGGTACATAGAAAGTGTTCCTTAAAGAGTAACTATTATTATTCTGGGGAGGTGTTTGTTAGAGGGGAGAAATGTGAAGCTCTAAACTCTGTTGACTGCGGTGGTTCCAGCAAGGCCCCCCGTGAGCCCAGACCCCTAGAGAGAGGCAGTGGGGGTGGGGGGGGTGAGAGCGGAGAGAGTCCAGCTCTAGTCTCCTGCTGTCTCCACACCGGACCCCCGCTACTTCTGAGGCCCTCAGGTACCCACTTCTGAAGTCCAGATCACTCTCAGCCTGCCCGAGGGAGGGCAGTTTAACCAGCTACTCTGAAATCCTCCTGCAGCAGCAAGACCCGTGGCCGTGTGTGTCTGCAGGCAGAGTCTGGCACAGGTCTGTGGGACGAGGTCCAGGTCGGGTGGGGCAAACTATGGGCTGGAGCGGCTGGCAGCACAGGTTGTGTGGGGGCTCACTGGATGCAGGGGGTCCTGGAGGAGGGCCTCTCTGTCCAGCACAGTGGGTTGTGGAGGGAAGTGGTTCCTGCTATGGCTGGTGGCCCCGGAGACCGTTGCCACCTGAAGGTTGTATGCTTAGACCTGGTACGTGGGATCCAGGTTCTTCTCTCCCAAACAGCAGCTCAGTGGAGGGAGCCCTGAGGAAGCCTCCCCCACTGGCCCTCAAACACACACGTCTGCCTCCCCATGAGGACAGTAATCAGGTGCTACAGCTGAAGTGTCATGGTGTGATGGTTGAGTGGCCATACCTAGGTGGCTTCCCCATACATATGCCATGGCACAGAGGTAGGTACAGATGGGTGAGGCTCAGGCCCTTTGACCTGCCAGTTAGCACTCCACAGGAAGGACCCTTGCGTGGACACCAGACATCCTGGGTAGCTCTGGGCAAGTCAGTCACCCTCTCTGGGCTTTGCTTTTCTC